TTGGGGAGGAGCGAAAGCGAAGGTGGGGGAAATAGGCGAAGGCGAAGGCTCGGTTCTGATATGTTCGGTTCTGACAAGTTCGGCTCCGTGGTCTCGCTTCTCAGGAGTCTTGGCTCAGGAAAGGTTTCAGTTCCTTGGGGAGGTTCAGTTCCTAAGAGGGTTCGGCTCCTAAGAGGGTTCGGCTCCAAGAGGCTGTTTTTCGTGATTTCTTCCCGTTTTGAGTGATTTTTGACCATGTTAAGGGTTAGGATGACCCGGATGACTATAAAAAGTTGAGAGAAATTTTGAGAGAGATTTGGGAGAGATTTCAGATAGAGAGAGATTTATAAAGAGAGATTGAGAGAGGCTTTGTTTGTGACCTTTTTGGATGTTTAGCTTCGCAATGCAAGGTTCGTACACCCCGTTAAGCTTAGTTATGATGGTTTATGCCCCCGAGGGGTATGAAATAACGTTTTATTGAATAGTTTCATCACTTACCCTGATTAGGTTTGAAATTTCTGAACGAATGAACTTTCCAAGTGATAACTTCTTATTAAAATAGTGAGTTGCACAATAGTAACATAGTGTAAGCCCTAATATACAATGGTTATATGATCTGACCGGTCTGAGCTGATGACTTTATTTGACTTTGACTTGATCGGAAATTGACGGTTGTCACACTGGTGCTGTTGGGTGTGACCGTATCCAATGATAGAAGTCAACGGCGAGCTATCGACGGCAGGTAATTGAGAATCGCCGGAGGAGGCGATGAGAGAAGAAGGGAGGCTGCTGTGAGTTTTTCTTGTTTGGAAGCATAGGAACGGAAAGTTTTTATTATATTAAAAGGATATTTTGGTCAATTCTTAAATGTAGTGAAATAAGATTGAGTGTCTTATAAAAAAAATGACTTATTGGATTTAAAAAAAATTATAATCCAAACATTCATTTATATTTTTGAAACGATTAAAACTATCTAATGATAGATAACCAAAAATTTGTTGATTGGAATTCAGTTTGCAACTTCTACCACATGTAAGTAACACATATCGACAAAAATATCCAAAAACAAATCATTCCTATTTTCACTCTTCCATCTCAACCCCCCACCCCCTGCGCCCAAAAAAAAAATAATAAAAAAAAACTATTCATTTTAGAACTCAGACACAACAGAAATATTATCAACACCTTATCTTATATTTTACTTAGATAAGAAAATTAAAAGGAATAGTGCTACTGTGCTATCCTTTAGAGAGAATACATTCTTGACTTCTTCCAGTCTTTCTTCATTCTCTTTTTTATGTTTCTTGTCCAATTCACTCATCGTGCCCATTTTATCTTGTCTTGAATTGAAATCAGTAAATTATCTGATGTGCCCAGCTTGTAGAATAACATAAATGCCCCCAGACATAGATAGTCCATTAGAAATATTGGTTGAAAGAAATATCACCAGACACAAGAACATTCAATACCAAATGCAAGAAAAAAAAATTCAGATGCAAAAGCTTCCTTCAAAAGTAGAATACCTTGATGAGAAACATGAGAGCAAAGTTGCAGGGCATAGAAGGACAGCAAGTGTTGGTGCTGACATTGGTGCCTGGACTATTGTGGTCAAGGTTCTAAATGGCGTGAGGCGTGGCGTGGCGGCAAGACCAAGCCTCAAGCTTAACGAGCCATGGCGAGCCATGACGTTTTTTCAAGGCGTGATGTAAGGAGGGAATTTTGTATTAATTTAAAATTATATTACCACATAAATATAAATTTATATTAAATATAACTACTTTTAGCAATATTAGTTCAATAACTAATAACAAAAAGTTAACAAAAACCAAAATACTTGTATCTCCGATTAGAAAAGACATAACAAATAGCAAAAAACTGTGTCTCAAACGAAAAAACATGCGCCATAACACGCCATAACGCACCATGGCGCGCCATATCGCGCCTTGCCACACGCCACGGCTAACACCAACGTTATAAGGTTTTTCGTAACGGTGAAGCCACACCTCACGCCATGGCGCGCCTTGGCGCGCGCTATGGCGTGCCTTTTAGAACACTGATTGTGGTGGATGATAATGGTGGAAAACTAGAAGAGCCTCCAAGAAAGATACCGAGTTTTTCAGGGTTTAAGATAGTGATGCCATGTTTGTTGTTGGGTTAACTTCAATACATAGCAACATACTTCCATTGATTTGTACATCATAGCATCCTACTTTTGTTTCTTCCTATTAATGCAAAGCAATTTTCACTGCTATAATTGGGTAGACTTTTGAAAGTATAATGTCATAATAAGGAAAAAACTGAAAGTATGATTGGGAGACATTTCAAAACACAATGCGTAAATAAGGTGCTTACTTCCACAATACACACCAAATATAAGGTGCTTTTTCAAATAATAAATTCCATCTTCCACACTCTGTCTACTTAAATTAATTGTCATCCAATTTATGTGATTTTCAAAGGAGTCGAATGGAGGAAGAGTTGTAGAAACAACACTAGCATAACTCCTACAACAAGATCCATGTCAAATAAAAAATTATTAGGACCAATATCATATCGTATTAATACAAAACAAAGTAATCTAAATAATTTATGCAAAGCCTTACCTGTGATTACCATTCGTTTCGAGATAATTATTAAATTGAAATCTCTATAACTGTCAGAAAGGATTATTAGCAACAAGAATATATGTTAGATCATCACCCGTATCCAAAAAATTTCATATCATGATCCATATTTAAGATGTATAGAATAAAAAGCCATATAATTTTACGATAGCATCTCTGGACACACACACAAACATACACACACACACACAAGTTCCAGCAACTACAACTCAACCACCATTCTCGTAGGTCTTAGAAATATACTCTTCATAAATAGCCTTACAGTCGCATAAATAATAGCCTAGAAATAGTTGCCATCATAAGAGAAACGTCTATGAACGAATATATTTATACAAAATCAAAAACTAATTTACTGAATTGGAACTATGAACAAAAGTTTGAAGTCATAAATCGAGAAAAGCTAGGAAGAGGTTATAAATACCTACCAGAAGACCAAACTCAAAAGATGATACAATTTGAAACATAATCGAAAGTGGAGAGATCAGAGTTGGTGAATTGTTGCAATAATCAGATGCCTTTTGTGAATAACTTGTTCCGATATACCCTCAATATATGAAATCGCCGCCCTGAAACTCCTCAATAAGCCATCACAGTTGATCAGCTAGTGAAGCGAACCTCAAATGCGATTGGAAGATCGTTTCCATATCTACCGGATTGATAGAGGAATCAATAGACCAACTACTTAAAAAAGAAAGAGAAAATTACTATATAATTGAAAAATCGGAAACATTACCATTTTAGAATTAGGAATATCACTGAGAACAGAACAGAGAGCTATGACATATGCTTTTTACTTGAGACGAACTTCATTGAGAGCTCCATTGCTGTTGAAGATAATATATGAAATGTTGATTCTGTTGATTTAGAATCCTGACACAAGATTGAAATCGTGGATAGAAAACAATTACAAACCCTAAGTTTTTGGTATTAACTGTAACTGAAATTTAAGAGGTGAGGGTGTGAGGCAACGATAGGCTGAGATAGATTTTTGGCAGAGGTGAGACGAAGACAGTTCCACAATCAGATGGAGGCAGAGGCAACCAACACTATCCGACGAAGTCAAAACGACGCCGTTTGTAGCAAATCGATGGTGATTGAGGTCGGAGATGAGATGAATATGGATCTTCGGTGAGGATGAGAGAATGTGTGGCGGACAAGGAGGCTTTGGCGTCGATTTTCTGGAGAGTGAAGGAGGTGGTCGCCGATTAGATTTTTGATCTCCATCTTGTCTTCCGATTTGAACCAGATTTGGCATCTGAGACGGTATATTAGGTTGTCTCTAAAATGCCCCTAATTCATGTGAAATAAAATGCCCCGTCTCTTTTTCCCCTTTGTTATTTACGAAACTGTGATAGATCATCCTAACCTTTAATTATTTTGATCTAACGGCCTTCGTTTGGTTCTTGGGTTCTCGGGAAACTTTGAGTTCTCAAATGATCATTCATATATGTGTGTGCGTATATATATATATATATATATATATATATATATATATATATATATATATATATATATATATATCATGGAAAAAATTTGGTATTTATATTATTTTTTACGAAAGGGAATTCATCCGTACATAATATTTTCTTTTCGTACACAACAATTTATGTTTTATAGAGTTGTATAATACAAATATATAAAGCATAATCATTATGTTTGGAGAAAAATTATTGTCTATAAATCATTTTCTTATACAAAAATATTATAAATTTGATGTAAAATAAATTATCTAAAAGATAATGTTAAGAATTGAAAATGTTTTTGCTTTTTAGTAAGTTAGATTGATACCACGTGTTATTATGTGTATATTGTCTCGGATCATACAGTCTCGTACTCTTCTACACGTTTTATAAAAAGTATACTTTGTAAATGGTTTAACATTGTTACTTTTTTATTTATTTATTTAACTGATAAACATTATAATTGGTTTAATATTTGTTGTATTAAACAAAAATATTATAACAAAAGAAAGTCAAACTCCATTTTTTAACCAAAATGCCTCATATGCTTACTTTAATACCGAAACGTAAATTTTCAGCAGCCACCCCATGTTCATGTAGGAATACCTAAACTAAAAGTCACACAAACCCGTTGACCAGATGTAAAATTTTCCTTTGACCACTATTCAAGCAAAACTGCTTAAGTAACATTTAAGTTAGGCTCAAACTCACCACCTCGCCTTTTTCCAATTACCAAAAACACCCTACCCAAACCCATCAAACTTTCTCCTCCTTTACATATCCCAAGGGCAAAATAGTGAATTCACATCTCTACCTTCCTTCAAGGACACAAAAAGTCCATCTAGTTGACTCAATATCACGAAACCCACTTCAAAAGAGGCTTTATATCCCATAAACTTTTAACAAGTTTTATTATCATGAATCGAGTTTTTTCAAAATGGCAAAATCAGGAAAGGGTCGGAGGTTCATTGTTTCATCTATCATCTTCATTGCGTTTCTTTGCACTATTGCTTCCATAAATGAACTCAGATTTGACCATTTATTACGGTTTAGCCGATGTGCGCTACAATTGGAGGACACTCTACCCACAAACGCTTCATCAGAAGAAATCCGTGTTCTTCTCGGAATCTTAACCCTACCGGACAACTACCACCGCCGCCACTTCCTCCGCCTCATCTACGCCACCCAACCGGTGGTCGCCGGAGCAAAAGTCGACGTCAAATTCGTCTTTTGCAACCTCACAAAAGAAGACCAAAAGGTTCTAATAGCCCTAGAAATAATGCAATACAACGACATCATAATCTTGAATTGCAAAGAGAATATGAACAATGGGAAGAGTTATACGTACTTCTCGAGTCTGCCCGATATGCTTAAAGAAGATCCAGGTAGTTCGGGCAGTTCGGGCGGGAACTACCCACCATATCATTATGTGATGAAGGGTGACGACGACGCTTATTTTCGGCTCGGGCAGCTTGTGCAGTCGTTGAGAGTGTTACCAAGGGAGGATTTGTATTATGGATATACGATCCCATGTAATCAAATGAATCCGTATGGACATTATATGTCTGGAATGGGATATCTGATATCCTGGGACATTGTGGAGTGGCTCCGGGTATCAGATATCCCAAAGGTGCATCTGGAAGGGCCGGAAGATAAAGTTTTTGGAGATTGGATGGAAAAAGGTAAAAAGGGAAAGAATCGACATAATGCAAAGTGGTCAATGTATAATTATCCCGAGCCACCCACACAGTGTACGCATGAATTATGGCCCGACACGGTTGCGGTTCACCTTTTGAAGACACAAGAGAAGTGGATCCGGACATTGAAGTACTTCAACGCTACCCAAGATCTTAAACCTTCTAAATTGTACCATATGGATTAGGTAATGATCATTTCTACTTGATACCTTAACCATTTTTGTTTTATTTTTTTAATCGGATTTGTAAACAATAAAGAGTTGATTCTTGGTTAATTGATAACTATTAAGAAGAAAAGGTGGATTTAGATAGCTTTTGTCGATTTTATTCCTTATATAGTTTAGTATAGATAGTTGATATAGATGTGATTTTCTTCACAGATTTATTAAAGAAACGTAAATTTGCGTGGCTGAAAAGGCAACAACATACTTTGAAATTTTGTGTTAGCATTGTGAGATTTCACAAAGTCGTTTGTCATTAAAAACCAATGCGTCGTATGGGGAATTAGGGGGTGTGCTAATGAAAGGTAAGCGTCTCATAGCCATGTTTTGGTGCACACAAGGACCAAAAAGTGCAATAGCACATAGGATTTTCAATGTGACAATTCTTTATGAAACCGGGTACCTAAATTGTAAAACAACTAGTTTTAGGAAAATTAAGGGTGCATTCTAGAGCTTTCGTCTTGATGGATAAGTTGAATCCGATAGAATTAATTGAATCTAAATTGGTCTATTTCAAAACATATATCTGAATAGATCTGTATGCAAAACCGATCTGAAGTAACCAAATTACAATTTGGTTGAATTGATTTTTACAATTGCCTTTTAGAGCAGAAACGTTTTAAAAAATATGTAACTTCGATAATAATCACCTCCAATAGATATATACAGCTTGACTTGCTATAACGTGTTGTGGAAACCAATGTTTTAAAATCCGGGTTTTTAGTTGATATGATGTGATGACCGGTTCACAGGTTAACCGGTTCAACCGGCTGAACCGCCGGATCAACCCAGTTTATGGTCTTTTTCTATTTTTATATATTTTTACTTTCTTGCATAATACATAAAGATATAAAACCAATAATTTGATGTCCACAAATTTAACCATTGAAAAACATTAAAGAAACCGCAAACGGCTAGTTGTTTTGGCGTTCGCTACTTGTATCAAACTATTCAAGCCCTATTAAAACGAGTCAATCCAGTTTTAACCGGTTCAACACAAGCGCTCGAACCGCAGTTTTGGAGAAACCCGGCCGGTTTGATCCGGTCCGAATTTTTACAAAAAACCGTTATTAATTGATCCACTTTCTACCCTGTGTCACGGTCTAACTGGTTGAACCGGTCGGGTTGACCCGGGTTTTAAAACATTGGTGGAAACACTGTTCATTTTTGTTTGAAAAATATTTAGAAAAAATGAGTGGTTTTTTTTTAAGGGTTTGTAGGGTATGGAAGTTGGTGTAGGGTTTGGAAAAAAAATAGAAAAATATAAAAATATGGAAAACATCATTTTTTTCAAGTTATTTGTAATTTTAAAAAATTATAAAAATTCTCCTTGTAAAAAGAAAATTGAAAAAAATATTAAACCAAGCATGTCATCTAAATTTTCAATTTTCAATTTTCATTACAAATACTACAATTTTTGGAAAAAAAATATAGTGAACTAATATGTTTTCAAACTTTCTAGAAACTATATATATATATATATATATATATATATATATATATATATATATATTATATATATATATATATATATATATATATATATATATATATATATCAGGACCAAATGCACGTTTGCAGTACGAGGTTTGAGACAATATCCGTTGCACGACAAGGTTTGGGAAACATTTTGGGTAGTTTGTTTTTTTCATAATAATTATTATATTATACATGCCACGTAGGACAAAAATTGCCATGCATGATGCCAAGGTGGATTGAACAATTAACATAGAATCCTTACAATAGAATACTTAAAACATGTTACAACTGGCAATCTAGCAAAATTTTATTCGTGATAAAATTGTACATCTCTCAAAATCAAGGCTACTTGAATTACTATCAAAGAAAAGTTGGGCCAAACCCATTACTATGGCCTTTTGAACCAAATAAGTTTCAAAATAAGTATATATAAATGGATTGTATGTAGAAAAGTCTAGAGAAAATTTCTTAAGTCCTAATTTTCTTTTTTCTTTTTAATTTTTGAAAAGAAGACACACGATTATTTAACATTTTGTATAAAAACAAATCTCCCATAAAATTCCAATATTTTCAATCAGCTTACAGTTTAATACAAACATTTATTTTTTGAACATAAAAATCTATCATTTTCTGTTAAAAAAATAAGTGCTATTTCATTCATTTTGGCAAATATAAAATAATTGATACTTTTCTCTTTAAAAAATAAAAGTGAATGCTTAAACCATAAACTAACCACCCAAAATATTGAGACTATATCAAAAATTTCCCTTTTGTCCAAATTAACGAAAAAGTTATTTTGTTTTATTT